CGGAGAATCATCACAAGCAACACAACCGAGCTATGTATCGTCGACCAGTCCCTTGACAAAGGGCAAAAGTATGATGCTCATGGCCGAGCTGCGTCAAGCCGGTCAGTTCTGGCTGACCGGCCGCGAGGCATGCCGGCCTTTCCCCGTTCTACCTTCATTCTTGGTTACACGAAGTCGGGCCATCTCGGCTGACGGGTTGGAAGTATGCCGGCCTCGCTTCGTCCTTAGTCCATCCCAGGCTGCTTTAGCTCGATTGCTTCACATCACTGTGCGTCCAGCCGAATGCCTTCCAAGTCATAGCTCGGCCAGGCCTCAGTCCATGCCTGGTCGGCCATTCCCTTCGACTGTACACAACAGGCCAGTGGCCGCGCCTACTAAGAGCATAACTCGGCACCGTAAGGTTGGACCAACCTGTGTTACCGTAGCTCGGCCATACTGTCCGGTCCAAATCTCCCCTCTCAATTGCCCCTTAATCCCATCTGGGCTAATCGTGATTGGGATTACCACCATGACTGAGCTAATGGTCCCTGGGTTGCGCCAGTACCAAGCCGGGCGTGACTGGGGTCAAAGCCGTTACCGAGCTATCCCATTTGGTCAGTCATTAAGTTGCATCAGTAGTCTTGTCAAGGGTCGTACAGCCGTATTGACAGCCGTGCTCTCGATGCCACGTGGCCCCACGTCATTGGACCGTACAACCCAGCTGTCTTCCTATGCTCAAAATTCAAACGACGGCGCAGCCGTTTGGTTTTTCCGCCCCCCCTTTTTTATACACAGACGAAGGGTCATTCGAGCCCTTCACTGTTCATCCTCGCATTGAGCCCAAACCCTAGCCCTCAATATTTCAAACTTCCTCCCTTACTGCCTTTGCTCTCCCATTTGCTTTCCTACGTCCGTTTTTGCCATTTCCAAAGCTGCAATCAAGTCTGAGAAAGGCTGAATCTTGCTGGACATCTGGTATTGGTAAGTCTTCCTATCCTTCTTTCGTACCTTCATACTCGAGTTTTCCATGTTCTTCTTCCTTTTTCTTTTCTGCTCTTTGTGCCCTTTGCTTGGGACTATTGATGTTCCCTTTTATGCGTAGAACTTGTACACGCTATGGGAGATTGAAACTGAATGAGTGGATGGGGCCTTCGAGCCCCTGTTTCTCCTTGGCTCGAACGAACGAACCTTGAACTTAGGATGAACAACTTGAATCTGGGTAAAACCGAGCTAAGTGGACAACTTAGATCCATAAATAAAACTTCAGCCGAGCAAAAACTCGTTTGTGGCTTCTCGCTGAGACTGCAACCGAGCTGAAAATAGGGACACAGAACTGAACTAGGAAGGCTAACTAGGCCACGTAGTCGAGCCGAGATAGGAGTCCAACCGGTCAATCACCCAAAAACCTTTCACCGATCTAAAAGATCCACATTGAAGCCGTGCAATTTATGCCGTGCTAACCCTTGGACTTGTTTCTTAACAATGTAGAACAAACTGGGACCGATTAGGCCAGTCCAGCATTATCACCAGTGATGCTCATTGTCCGAGCAAATTTTCCACCGAGATACAAAATAAATCACCCAGTAAATATAATCGAGATAAATGGGGAAATACCAGTTCATGGTGAGTTCTTCCGGTGCGATGGCCGAGTCCTGTAGGGAGTACAGCATCCTGGAGGACGTCCACTTAGAGTTGGCCAAGAAGAGAGATACCCCATGGGGCGACCTAGACCGGTGCCCCTTCACGGTCGTATCCATAATGGAGGGAGGGCTTCGCTTCCTAGTCCAGCCCTTGATCTACAAATTTTTGAGGCAGACAAGGCTTTGTCCAACCCAAGTCTCAAATAACACGTACAAAATAATAAACGGCGTGGCCGAGCTGAATAGGAGGCTCGGTCTCAATCTCGGCCTTGCTGAGATATTTCATCAGTACAACCTCAGCAAGAATAAAGGTGGGTTTTGCTGGTACCTGAAGGTAAAGAAGGGCCGAGCAAAACTCATCGAGGGTAAACCCGATAAGGAAACCAATGACGATGATTTCCTCTGGGTGTCCGGTCGATATGAGGACACCAAGGCGCCCAAATCGGGCTGGTACATCAGGAAAGATTTTGGCAGCGCTGGTGAGTAGCTCCGCAAACTGCATTACTTCTTTTTGCATTGATTTTCTTCTTACCGATCTAACACTTGTCCTCTTTTTTCAGATTACCAGCTCTTGGACGAAGACTACTCCCGAGCTAATCAGAAGGCCATCCGAGTCTTGCTGCGTCATCCGGCCGAGGAGCGCGAATCTCCAAAACTGCTCGGCTTCGAACCGACTTACCATTACATCGCACCGTGTAAAAGCAGGGTGACCGAATTTCTTCGCGCTCCTTCCCCAGAACTTGACCCAAATCTTCCGCCGATCAAACTTGTTCTTCTCACTGCCGAGCAAGAAATGGCCAAGATCAGGGCAATCAAATCAATGATCACCGGTGAACCGAGTGACTCCCAGCCACCAGAAGCATCTGGGGGGACTTTCACCACACCAGCCAGGCCAAAGGAAGGTGCTGTGCTGGTTCTTGCCAGCGAACAACCAACTGGCCGGTAGAAGAAAAGGCCAATGAGAGACCAAATCGAACTGCACCTCGCTGATGAAGACTCAGTTGAGCATGCCTCCACCGAGCTGGGGGACCAGACCGAGCAGCCACTACCCGGGCCATCCAAGAGCCCAACCTCCCCCCCGGTCTGGGCGCCTGAGATCAAATACAAGGGCCGAGCAGTCGCCACGGCCAATTCAGTGTATGTGGACAAGGATTACTCCCTTGGTTTCAACATGACCAAGGGGCTGATCTTTCCCGCCGACATGAAAAAGTACGACAAGATGTCCGACCTGAAGGTTCTTCGTTCGGTAGCTAAATCGATTGTGTTGGTAAGTTCGCCACTCCTTTCTTCAAGTTATTGCTCGGTTTTTGCTTGGTTTTCTGAATACTCACAATCTTTCACTTGTTTGCAGGCCACACAAAAGAACTATCTTGCCCATGAGCGCATGATCGCCGTGCGGCAGAGTCTGCGCGAGGCCATTGCTGAAAACAAGGCCAAAACGGCCGAGATAGCAAAGTTAACGGCCGCACAAGAGGCAGTTAAGGCCGAGCAAGATGCGCTAAGCCAAAAGGTGGGCCGGGCTGAAGCGGACAAACAGCGGGCCGTGAAGTTGACCAAGGCTCGGTACCTCGCCGAGCTGCGCAAACTTCACGACACCCACAAGGATGAGAAAGATAAGGCGGTTGACGCCGCCGAAGACCGAGGATATGCGCAAGGCGAGAAGACGTATGAACGGCAGGTGCAGGCAACCAAGGACATCTTTTTCCAGTGCGGTTGGAAAGCTGCTGTGGAAAAAGTTGGCTTTGGTCACGACGCTGACATGTTCCAAAATCCACCTACTGCCTCGTACCGCACTATACGAAGGCCTATGCGAGCGCCGCGCAGAAAAGGCTCATTGAAGAGGCCAAAAAGGAAGCGAGGAAGAGGCAAAGAAAGCGGCCGAGGAAGAGGACGATGCCGCACAACTTGCTGATCAAACTTCTCCTGAAGCCTCTGGCAGGGCCGAAGATGAAGTGACCGAGCGGGAGGTTGTGGAGGTGGAAGGCGCTGAAGAGGAGGCCGTGGAGGGGTTGCCTGAGCAGACGGTCGAGGTAGCCGAGCAGACAGCTAACCTAGAGTTGGATTGATATGTGCTCATTTCCTTTGCTTTGTTTTTGTTTCTGTTCCTTTCCTTTTCGAATGTAACCGGGCTTGGCCCCACCGTCGTAATGCAATTTCCCTTTTTAATGAAAACTTGAATTTTTTGCTCGTTTTAACTCCTATTTCTGTTCGGTTGCAACGTGCAAGATTTCTTCATTCAAATTTTAATGAAACCCAACTGGTAGGTCAGCTAAGCCACACAATATGCCAAGCCAAACCCAACCGGTAGGTCGGCTAGCAGCCCGGCTCTTTGATTTTTCGAATGAACCCCGACATTGGTATCCGGCTGAGCAAAATCAGCTCGGCCCTTAATCGGGCTAAGCGCGAACATTTGGAGTAGGGCGAGCATAAATCAGCTCAGCTTTTATGGTTTCGAAAACACCCAAACATTTCATTTTGGCCGAGCAAAAATCACCTCGGCCGCTCTGTCTTTGACAAGACTTCAAGTCTTGTATGTGGCGGGCAAAAATCAACTTGGCCTTAAAGGAATTTGGACAAATCACCGACACTGTATTTTGGCCGAGCAAAACCAGCTCAGCCTGTAAATTGGGCAAAACACCAATATTTCAATGTGGCCGAGCAAAATCAGCTCGGCCCTTTTGGTTGGATAGGACGCCAACATCTCTTCTGTCCGAGCAAAGTTAGCTTGGCTTCTTATAAGTTGGACGAGGCGCTAACATATCATTTGGCTGAGCAAAGTCTGCTCGGCTCTCAGTTCAGCAAAACACTAACATTTCTTTTTGGTAGTTCACGACGCCGATATCCTAATTGGGCGAGCAAAAATCAGCTCGGTCCCTATGCTAATTAGACAACTCACCAACTGTTTGCGCAGTCTGTTTCTATACCGGCTAGGGGAAATTAGGTCTGCCCAGTGCAGGTCGGTCTCCTTGCCCCTGCCATCCATCGTGGCCCAGTATCCTTGCCATGTCATTGTACAGGAAGATATAATCCAAAACAACAAACTGGGCTAATTTTCATTACAAAAAGCAGTGCTATCTTTTACATCAAGTGCCAAAAGGCTAAAGGCCTAGGAAGCTAAGCAACAAAAGCAATAACATTTTAGAAGTAAAAGATCTTAAGATTGGCTGCATTCCATGGTTTAGGGACAGTTTTGCCATCTAAATCTTCCAGATGGTAAGCCCCTTTGCCTGCCAGGCCAGTCACCTTGTATGGTTCTTTTCAATTTGCACCAAGTTTGCCTTCACCCGGGACCACCATGTTGCCCATCACCTTCCTTAAGACCCAGTCCCCGATTTTGAATAGCCTGGGGTGCACCGCTTTGTTGTATTTCTTGGAGAGTTCTTACTGATAAGCCGCAATGTGGATCAGAGCCCGTTCCCTTCTTTCTTCGGCTAGGTCAAGCTCCATTGCCACTGTTTCATTGTTCAAATCTGGCTGGAAGCTTTCAGACCAGATGGTTGGCAAGCCAATCTCCAGCGGGATAACGGCTTCCATGCCACAGGCCAAGGCAAACGGAGTCTCTCCGGTCGACCGCCTTGGCGTAGTGCGGTATGCCCAGAGCACATTAGGGAGTTCTTCAGCCCGCTTCCCCTTGGCTTTCTCAAGCCGCTTCTTCAGCCCATCCAAGATGGTTTTGTTGGAGGCTTCTGCTTGACCATTTGATTGAGGATAAGCCGGCGTTGAATTGTAGAACTCGATCTTTAACTCTTTGCAAAATCCGCGAAAGAGTTTCCCATCGAATTAAGTACCATTATCTGAGATGAGGGCCTTTGGTATGTCGAAGCGAGTGATGACATTTTTCCAAACAAATTTCTTCACATCTTTTTCCTTGATGGTTGCCAATGGCTCGGCCTCGACCCACTTGGTGAAGTAGTCGGTAGCGGCGATGAAGAATTTGCGATTGCCCGGGGCTGCTTGGAGTGCCCCACTATATCCAATCCCCAGAGGGCGAACAGCCAAGGACTTGTAAGGGGGAGCAATTCCCTCGCTGGCTGGTGGATCTGGTGAGCGAATTTCTGACACTTTTCAAATCGGCGAACGTATTTCTGTGCGTCCGCCTTCATGCATGGCCACCAGTAACCTTGAGAGATCACTCGGTAAGCCAGAGACCTACCCCCAGTATGGCTGCCGCAGATGCTTTCATGGATCTCATACAGGAATGCTTCCACCTTGGCGGGGTGGACACACTTCAGATACGGCCCGGTAAAAGACTTCTTATACAAGGCTCCGGACAGGGAGAGCCAAAACCGCTCTGACTTGGCCCGGATCTTGTTGGCTGCCTTTTTTTCTTCTGGCAAAACTCTATCTTTCAGGAAGGTGACGATGGGGTCCATCCAGGAAGGACCCAAGTCGGTGTTGAGTACCTCCGTCACTTCTGGTTCCTCAATACTTGGCCGAGGTAAATATTCTATCATTAAGGGGTTAGGAAAAGCCGTTTGTGTAAAAGCAAGCCCGGCCAATTCATCAGCCGTGTTGTTTTCTTCGCGGTTGATCTGTTCCACTCTTATGGCGTCAAACTTCTTGATCTCTGCGCGTACCAGCGCCTGATACTTCGCCATTCGCTCATCCCGGGCCTTATATTCCCCGGAGACCTGATTGACCACCAACTTGGAGTCGCTGAATACCATTAGGGCTGACGCTTTCATTCTCAATGCGCTTCTTAGTCCGGCAAGGAGGGCTTCATACTCCGCCTCATTGTTGGATGCTGGGAAGCTGAGCGTAATTGCTCGCTTGATAACCAGCCTGTCTGGTCAAGTCAGTATGATACCCAGCCCGGCACCATGTCTATTGGATGCCCCATCGACGAAGAGCCTCCACATCTCGCCAATGAACAGCTTCCAGCAATCAGAGGGGTTTTGGGAGCTTCTCAATTCCAATTCTCTGGTCGGCTCATTCTGGTCTCTTCCCTTGTCTTGGTTGAGTTCGTCTTCCAATAAGTCACCTGGTTCCACTAGTTTGGTTGCCCTTCACCCTTCTTCCACTTGCGAGCCAACGCTTGTCTCCATTGCCTGAACCATGGGCTGCGCTAAATCTGCACCAGCCAAATCAACCGGGAAAATTGGATGCGTTCTAGGGGCAAACTCCGCCACAAAGTCTGCAAGAGCTTGAGCCTTGATTGCGGTGCGTGGGTGGAACTTGACGTCGTATTGCCCCAATTCTACGACCCATTTCAAAATTCGCCTGGTAAAGTCCTCCTTTTCAAAGAGTACTTTAAGCGGAAACTCGGTTAGCACAACTATTGTATGGGTATGGAAATAGTGCGCCAGCTTTCTCGAGGCCATCATAAGGGCCAGGGCTAATTTTTCTAGCGGCAGATACCTCGATTTAGCGGGGAGCAAGGTCTTGCTTACGTAGAAGATTGGTAGGTGCTAGATGTCTTTAGCCCGAACAAATACCGCGCTCACCGCGTGTTGAGAGACAGCCAAGTAGAGATATAACTCTTCGCCCGGCTGAAGTGTGACTAAGATAAGGGCTGAGGAAAGGTATACTTTTAAGTCTGCCAGTGCACGATCACATTCATCATCCCAGAAGAACTTAGCTTTCAAAGTTTTAAAGAAGGGTCTGCAACAATTTGAAGACCGACTGATAAATCTGTTCAGCGCGGCTGCCATCCCGGCAAGATGTTGCACGTCCTTCGTAGAGTTTGGGCGCTCCAGCTCTTGTATAGCCTTGATCTGTGATGGGTCGGCTTCAATCCCTCGGTTTGTGACCATAAAACCCAAAAACTTCCCGGTGCTGACTCCGAAAGCGCATTTGGAGGCATTTAAACGAAGCTTGTGGTGTTTAAGTATTGCAAACATCTCTGCTAGGTCAGCGAGGTGTTAAGACTTCTCCTTACTCTTTACCACCATATCGTCGACGTAGGCCTCCATGGTGCGACCTAAAAGTGGAGTGAACATCTTTGTCACCATCCTTTGAAAAGTTGCCCCGGCGTTCTTCAGTCCGAACGACATGACTTTATAACAATACAAGCCTCTAGGAGTAGTGAACGATGTGATCTCTCGGTCCGGTTCATACATGGCTATTTGGTGGTAGGCACGATATGCATCAAGGAAGCTAAACTTCTGATGACCAGTGGTCAAGTCCACTAGCTGGTCGATTCGTAGGAGGGGAAAGCTATCCTTTGGGCACGCGCGGTTGACCGTCTCATAATCAACACACACTCACCATTTGCCATTCTTTTTCGGAACCACCACCGTGTTGGATATCCATCGAGAGTATTGCACTTCTTCTATTGCTCCTGCTTCCAACAAATTTTTGACCTCTTCTACCACCACCTCGGCATGGTGCAGAGCCGAGCAGCGTCTCCTCTGAATAACCGGCCGCGCATTAGGGAAGACATTCAGCTGGTGGCAAATAAAACTAGGGTCGACGCCAGGCATGTCGTAAGGCGTCCAAGCAAAAGCCTCCAAATTGGAAACCAAGAAATTGACATAATCCAACCGCTCAGCACTAGACAAAGATGATCCCAAAAGGAAGAACTTAGTTGGGTCGTTCTCGTCGATGCGCACTTCCACCAAATCCTCGACCGATTTTTCCTCGGCCTTTCTTCCTACGTCTTCAAGGACCTCTTTTCCCTCAGGTCCCTCAATCATTTGGACAAACCCTTTGGCTGCTCGGCTGCGATTTACCGCAACGAAGCATTGTTTTGCCCTCACCTGGTCTCCCTAAACCTCTTCAATCTGCCCCGTGGGCGCCAGAAAGCTCATAACTTGATGGAAGGTCGACGCAATTGCTTGCATGGCGTGTAACCAGCCCCTGCCCAAAATTAAGTTATAAGTGGATGGAACCTGGAGCACCTAGAATTCCACTTGCTTTATGACTGAACCTGCTTTGACCGGCAATATGATCTTCCCCACCGGCAATTCAGGCTGAGAGTTGAAGCCAACCCAAGGAGACGTTGCAGCGGCCAAGTCCTTGTCCTCCAGCTTCATCTGTTTGAAGGCGTCGTAGTACATGATTTCGACCGAACTCCCCTGGTCGATCAAGGTCCTCTTGATGTTGAAGTCTTTGACACGAAGAGTTACCATTAGGGCATCATTGTGGGGCATCTAGATCCTTTCCAAGTCCTTGCTTGAAAAGGCCAGGATGTCTTTCTCCTCGGTCTTCCCTTTCTTTACAACGGGCTGAACGGAGAGCACTTCTTTCATGTGTTCGGCCTTCTTAATCATCCTTCTCAGCTCGCAGACCCTGGCCGGTTCAATGATGCCATGGATGACATTGATCACACCTTGGGGCGCTGCCTCAAGGGCTGCTAGGCCATTTGGCTCGGTCTGTCCCTTTGGGGTGGCTTTCATACCCCCATCTATGTATCGGTCAAGATGTCCCACCACCACTAACTCCTCCAAGTGTTGTTTGAGCGACAAGCAGTCCTCTATTCGGTGCCCCCGTTCCTCGTGGAAGGTGCAGCAATATCTTGAATTGAAACCTCTCTGTGCACTCCCGAACTTGGCCGGCCAGCGGACAAAAGGCTCACCTCGGATCTCACTCAAGATGCGGTAGATAGGGATTTTAAAGACCGTGGTGATTCCAGTCTGCGCCTTCAACTTTCTCTTTGCATCCTCCTCTGTGTCACGCGGAGCGTCAGCTCGGTCATTCCTGTGACCTTTGTTCCTATCATCGCGGTTTGGGCCACAACGTTGATCTTTTGACCGGTCGTTTAGGCGGTTGTCCTCCTGCCCGACCAAGTGAACCTTCCCCGCCATTTTTTTGTCCGCCGCGACTGGATTAGCCTTCTCGATCGCGGAGGCGGCATTATCCTCCACACGAATGTGCTCATTGATCCGCTGCATCAAGGACTCCATGGTTGTGGGCTGGTGCATTATGAGCGAATCTCGCAGCCTATGTCTGATTGGGAGACCCCGCTTGTATTAAGTGATCGCCAGGTTGGTGGGGCAGTCGAGGATTTCGTTATAAGTTTTCCAGTACCTTGCATTGTATGCCTTCAACGAACCTCCAGATTCCATCTTGACACCCAAGAGATGGTCGACCTCCTTCGGCGTTCGAGTGTTGGTTTTGAATCTGGTGACGAAGGCTTTCACTAGTTGCTGCCACTCCTCGATACTCCCCTCCGAAAGCCTTTCAAACCATTTCAGGCTCAGTTCTCCCAAGCTTGCTAGGAATATGAGGCACATCAAGGCGTTATTGCGCCGATGGCCAGTCATTACTTGTCGGTAATGACTCGCGTGCATGTACGGATCCGTTTTGCCGTCCTACAGGGTGAACTTAGGCTGGTGGAATCTGGCAGGGAGCGATGTACTCTCGATTTCTGGCTACAGCGGCGTGGCTGTGAGTCTCGCCAGCTCTTTGTCCACTAGTGCAGGGGCCATCACCCTAGGTGCTGGCATTGCCACTTCTTCGCTACAACAAACTTGGGCGCTCAACCTCTGCGACGCCAGTACCCTCTGAGCCTCTCGACGGCGCACCCTCTTCTTCAACACATCCCTCAGGTCTCTGGAACGGGTGGAGAAAGAGTATCGCGACGTCGACGACGGGCGTGAGGGGTGGTAGGTGCTGTCGCGAGTGAGGGACCTGCCCTCCCTTGGGCCAGAATCCCCAACCCCATAGTTTCTGGTGATAGAGAGAGAGTGAGTCCTCTCCTGGCGGCAACTACTAGAACGAGCAGACGGGGTGCGGTCACTGAGGTTGCCCTCTCCAGCAATACCCTTTCCCTTAATCTGGCGTTTCAGCATCTCCATCCCAGCCGCCATCTTGCGAATGAGGGCATCTTGGTCTTTGAGCTTGTGCTCTAGGCACTGTGCACGGGACTCCCCCCACCGCCGACGGCCCTCTGGACTCTTCGAGCGATCAGTACTCCTCCCGCATTTGTCTCGCGCACCTCGCGAAGAGGTTTCTAGGCCCACCATGGCTTGAACATTCGGGGGGCTTTTCTTTCTGTCGGACAAACTCTGGTGTGACGCCATTGACGACGGATAGTGGATTTTCGTCGTTGTTGGCCATGGAAATATTCGAAGAAGCTTGAAGAGCAAGGTTTGATTATCAAAACCTTTTCCCATAAACGACGCCAATTGTACGGGGGCGAAATATCCAGTGCTTTCCGTACTATTTGGACTTCAAGCTTCTTGTGATGGCGTCTAACCTGGAAACAGAGAAACGGTGAGCTACCCGGCAGTGGTGTGCCGGATAGACCCTCCGACGATCAAGTCAGATCACTTCCAGAAGAAGAAGGCTATTAGAAAGAGAGAGTTTTTGATGGCGTTAATTGCTTAAAGTTTCTTACCTCTAACGTTCATCTTCCATTCCTATTTCTAGGCTGGCCATGCAACCTCAGGATTGTGCGCGCACTACCCCTGCTGTCCTTCCCTGGATAGGTGGCAGTGCTTGCCTCTCACCATCTTACGCGTGTAAAGGCCAAATCCTCCAACCAGTACATGTAGACCCGCCAAACGGTATTGACGCGTGCTTGGAGCAGATTTCCTCTCCCTCGCGCCATTGGCCCAGGTGGCACATTTCACCGGAGTACCACAACCCGCCTACCCCTTGCGGAGAATCGTCACAAGCAACACAACCGAACTATGTATCGCCGACCAATCCCTTGACAAAGGGCAAAAGTATGATGCTCATGGCCGAGCTGCGTCAAGCCGAGCAGTCCTGGCTGACCGGCCGCGAGGCATGCCGGCCTTTCCCCGTTCTACTTTCATTCTTGGTTACACGAAGTCGGGCCATCTCGACTGACGGGTTGGAAGTATGCCGGCCCTCGCCTCGTCCTTAGTCCATCCCGGGCTGCTTTAGCTCGATTGCTTCACATCACTACGCGTCTAGCCGAATGCCTTCCAAGTCATAGCTCGACCAGGCCTCAGTCCATGCCTAGTCGGCCAATCCCTTCAACCGTACACAACAGGCCGGTGGCCGCGCCCACTGAGAACACAGCTCGGCACCGTGAGGTTGGACCAACCTGCGTTACTGTAGCTCGGCCGTACTGTCCGGTCCAAATCTCCCCTCTCAAAAGCCTATTACTTAAAAGTCGCCATAATGGCAACCCAACCTAGTTGACTGGAGATCCCAAGATCTAGGTTCAAGGGGATAACCGAATTATGGATGACTTCACGTATAACTACGGAGGTTTATTCCTACCCATTTCTATAATAAGAAGATTGATACCTGCAGCGTTAGTAGAATAAACTTTACTTTTAATGATTCTTGTAGCTTGGATATCCAAGTGGGGTATAGCAGGATACTCTTAATAAAAAGTCACATATATGAGTGTGAACTAGGCCGGTTCTGTGAGAATTGAGAAGGCTAAATTCTCTAGAGCACTCATGAATTACCAGGTGTAGATGGACCTTTGGGGTTTGCTACTACAGTTCAGACTCAAATGTCACGGTTCTGAATCTAATCCCACAGAGTGCAATACGAGACCGATAAATCACCAAAGAGTTCAAATCCGGAAAATCATTTTGGAAAACTGATTTTTAAGAAAGAAATGCCAAACATGGACTGCTTTACCAGATACAGAGTCACCACCTAAATTTTTTATTTTGGGGGAATTTAGGAAATCCTGACTCGTGCCTAAGGCCACATATCCGTCATCACCAAAGTTGTCTCGGCTCGGGAACTTGGGTACGATTGGGAAAGGTCATGCAATGAGCACCCCCGCTTGTCCGATCAAAGATCGGCCACTACTAAACATGATATCTTGTTTTTGAAAACACATGCATTCTTATTCCAGTTAATTATCTAATCTTTACTATGTGATGCGCACAACACACAAATATAGACTAGATCGCCTAATTTGGAACAAAGCATCGCATATCCGTTTGTTTGGAAATGGTTTGAAATTTGCTACTCGCAAGTAGGCTAAAATACGGATTTCGATGAATTGTTCCAATTCAAACAATCCAACCTTCACCCACAGGCATTCAGGCAGTTATATCACATAAGCAATTAGCCTCATAGAGAGCATGTTGTCATGTTAACACTCACATACATGCAAGATGCTAAAGCATAAACACTTACGGTGTACTCCGAGCCAAAACAAGAAACTAGTTAGTAATCATGCATGATCCTAGTTCATGTTGAGATGGCTAATGCAACACATGCAAAATGAAACTAGAATAAGCTCGGTTATTCTAAGATGGCATATAAGGTGCGACAATTCAATACATGTATTCAAGTAGGGATTGAAATACGATGCAATTAGTATGATGCGCCGAGACCGGTGCATGTAATACAGATGAATGGATGCAAAACATGCGAGCATAAGGTATGTTAAATGAAATATGCCCTATGAAATATGCCCTAAAACTAACCATCATAAGCGGTTAAGTAAAAGGGAGAAAGAAATGGGGGCTGGAAGACATGCATCACACACACGCACGCTTATTACACGATTGCGCCCTCTTGACGGGAGACCAAAAGAATAATACAAATTAACTAATTAATTAACTAACAAGCTAATTAATTATTACAAAACCAAATGAATAACTAGCTATGACTAATTATTACAACACTTAAATAATTAACAAATTAATTAAGCTATGAAGGCAGTAAAACAGCCTCGGAAAGAGAGACGAATGCATGCTCGGTCAGCTTTGCTTGGAAATCCGTTGCCATGGTTCATGTTGCCTCTGTTTGC